CAGAACTACAATATGAAATGCAAGAGAAAGCAAAAGCATAAAACAGCATTGGAATGTAGTGACGGAGTCCTAGCTATGCTGCCCCTGATTGTTGCCTAATTGGGGCACGTGTGGGAATCACTAAGGGGAAATAAAGGGGGAGAGGAAAATCAGACCAACTGTCCTGAAGAAAAGACTGATGCAATGCGGTCCAGGGCAGGAGAGGGAAAATCTTATTTGCGATCGTTCCCAGGGAGAAGGAGGTCCAACACTGAAACTATGGAGTTGGGAATCCCATGATGGACAAAAGTTCAGGAGCAGTAGGAGGGGGCTCAGTGACCTCAGCAAGGAAGGAAGAAGGTTCAGAAGCAGAACCAACTACCGGAAAGTAGCTCTGAGTAACAGAACTATCTACAAAGCTGGAGCAGGTTCTGGTTCTCTGTTTATAGAGTTTGAAGCGACTAGATTTCAACAGGAAATTCTGTTATCAGCCCAAACCTGGGTGGAGTTTAGGAACTGGAACAATGTGCAGGGTCCTGTTTCCTGTTGGGATTTTGGATGAGTCTATAATGGCAAACCACCTCTGAATGTCTTTTGCCTTGAAAACCCCCCAGGCTCACCATTAGTCAGTTGCAACCTGCAAAAAAAGAAAAGAAAAAGAAAAGACCATGATAGGGAAGAAGGGAGGTCCAAATATGGTCGTGTTAGGTAGGACAGCAGAATAACCTAGGTGGGACGATTAGTTTACCTGAGCTTAACGATGTTCTCTGGGCTTGCAATTTAATTACTGGAGAAGTCTGTATTGTACAGAGGGTGCTGGGGTCTCAGTTTATTGTCCAGCAAACTTCAGTCAATTACTTGTGAACATGGATGTGATGAAGCTCTGGAGGATTTAGACAAAGCAACTTTATGCCCCTTGGAGCATTCCAGCAGTTGTTTTACCTTCATGTGAGACTGCCAAAAGGAATTCCTAAAAGCCAAAAATGCAGTCCATGTAATACCTTTTATTAGGAACAACCCAATGACACATAACAGCATGCAAGCTTTAGAGTTTCCCATAATTCTGCATCAGGCCAAATGTTACAAAAGAAAAAGAGGGGGCACACGTAGATTTCAAGCATATTTTTGAGATCCTGACGTAAAGACTTCTTCATGCCAGTGCCTGGTGGATATTCTGGCAGGTAATGAAGATTATGGTGTTGAGTTGCTTTAGGCCGTGGGCCATAAAAGCTAGAGGCAATAAAGCAATTAAACTCTGTAGCAACAATTCCCATCGTTTTGATTTCCCCCCTTACCCTGCCAGTTTTAGGTGCCTCTGCCTCAGTATCAAACTGGATATCCAGGCCTCTGGCAGCCAGGTCAGAGTCTTTTGTGGTGAGCAAATGCAGGGGTCCCTGTGTGGGATGCAGTTTAAATCATTATAGAGAAATATTCCGTGTAACTACAATAGCAAATGGCTCTGTGAATAATAAAAGGTAGCGGTGATAGTTCCCATCCCTGACATGTCCCTATATAGAAAAAGAATCAATCAAATAGATAACTATTAATTAAAAAGTGAAACATATTAAAAACAAAGAAACACATTATTAGAATTGAGCATCCATTTAAAATAATACAATACCACCCATAAGTATGACCACTCAACATGATAAAATGCTTTTTCTGCAGCCAGAAATATTAATGCTTTTTTGTGTGTCAGATTAGTCTTTTGATGTTTGTTGATATTTTAATAATTTCTGATATAGCCCGTGTTTGATCCAGATTGACATATTTTAAAATCAACATATCTAATCTGTTTGCACTGGCAGTTGTCCAAATAATAAAATACCAATTTATACTACAATCCTAAACAGAGTTACACCCTTCTAAGTCCATTGAAATGTGTATGAAAAATGCCATGAATGCCAAAAGGTAAATCTGATTCGTAACCTTCAGTATAAATAATTTACAGTGCAATCCTAAAAATACTTTCCTGGGAGTGCCATTGAGTAGACTACAGTAGGATTCTGAGTAGATCTGCTTGCACTATTCATCTGCTTGGGGAGTTTTGAGAGGTGGTACAAAATTTCCTCCAGGATCCCGCCCCTCAGAATCTCCAGAATTCTCTAGGTTTTCATGGGGAGCTCCCTTCCGTCTTTCCTTTAACTCTTCCTTCTTTCCTTTAACTCTTATTGAGGGAGCTCCCTTTCTTCCTTCTTTCCTTTAACTCTTTTACTCTCAACATGCTGTTTTTCCAGCAACATGTTCATTCCTCAACGTGCCCCTTTTCACCATACTGATGGAGTCCCCCAGACCCATGCCTTGTCTATGAGTTTCTTGGAGTTTTTCTGTTTTCATAATCATACACAGATTGGCAAGGTTACTGATTTGATTTTATACTGGCAAATGGTTTGTATGGCTACCTTCAGCTTCTGTATGTTAGTAGGTTTTTTAAAAGGTTACAAAAACTGTTGATCTTCGTCGTGGTCTCTGTGCAGTCCCACACATGGGTTGGGCGCCTGCGCACGACATCGACCGGAGAAACTTCTAGAGCTTTGCCTCAGAAAGCTTTTGGCGGGCTCTCTTCCCGCCCTGGGGAGCGGGGCGGGGGGGGGGCAAAAAAGAAAAGAAAGTCTCTCGGTTCTTGATTATACCCAGAATTTAACTTTGTTGACCTTGGAGATACAACTGGATCTAAACTTAAGTTCCACATCTGTTTGTTAACTCTTTTATCTGTATGCTAATTCACTGCCATTCATAGGTCTTAACAACGGCTGTAATCCAATCTCAGCTATACTTATCGCCCAGTTACTTCTGCATCTTGACTCTAACCAGGCCTTCCCGGCAACTGACCTCCCCACCTACATGTGAGGCTTGAGGAAAACTGTTTCAGTGCCTCTGATGAAGTGTGCCACTTTGTTGGTTTTAAAGGTGCCACTGGACTCAAACTTTGTACTGTTCTCCAAGCAGTGTGTTTGCTCACATTTGCTGAAGTTCTATAAAAGAGCAATCATCCTATCCTAAATAGAAGGGGGCATTTGCCTCCCAAGTTGCCTTGAACCAAGAGGAAAGGTGGGATAGAAATATTTTAACAATAAATAAAGTCAACAGAATACTACTGTTGTATCATAAAGTCTTAATACTTAAGGAAGGGCTAGCTTAAGAATACAGTTTGCAGTGGGTTTCCTTTTTTGTCTGTCTGGCTGTAGCTGTGTGCCCAGTAGTCTCTGGGAAAGGCCAAGTCCTCAAGTAAGAATACTTCATCAGTGCAAGTAATCAGCATGTAATCCCGAATGACTAAAGTGGGACAAGGAGCCTAAATGTGCCTTTTGTACCTAGCCTCCTGTTCCTCTGTCCCGGCCTGGGTCTGGGGACCCCCCCCCACGGATGGGCCTGGAGCAGCTTAGCTGTCTGCAGCAGGAGACGAGGCCGCGGGAACAGGTCGCCAGGGATGCCACACTGTTCAGCAGCTCAGGGCACAGGAGCTGGAGCCGCCTGAGCCACCCCCTCCCGGGCAAGGGGCAACTCGCCTCGTGGGGGCCAAAGTCTGGAGGCCTGGAAATGGGGACAGGCATGGCAGCAGGGCCCCCCCCGAGGCAAGCACCAGGCCCAGGGAGGGCGGCAGAACGGCCACGGGAGGCGACGTGGGCGGGCCTGGCATCTGTCCAGGGACCCATGGCAGACATACCTGGCACAGGGATGGCAACACTGGAATGGGGCTCCTGCCCTGTTGGGGCGGAACACCCTCAGAACACAGCAAGGGAGGAATGGGGCCAGCCCAGGAAGAGGACAGCGGGGCCCAGCCAATAGGGAGGAGGAGGAGGAGGAGGAATGGCAGGACCGCCGTCCACTCAGCGGGGGTGGGAAGGAGAAGGAAAAATGGAAATAAAAAGGGGGGGAAATGCTGGAGCCGGGGAGGGAAAGGAGGCTGGCAGCTACAGGGAGAGAGGGGGAGAGAGAGAGACACGAGAGAGCTCGTGTGCCGCAGAATAAGCCCAGGGGGACCCTGTGGAGGAGAAGTAACCACCACGGGCCCCTTTTCTGAGGCTTCAAGCACAACCACCGTTACCTTTTATCACACAGTGGAGGGCCGACCTCTGAGGGCGGCCCAAGGGGGGGGCGCCACACCCTCAAATTCCCAAGGTCTCTCTGAGCCTCAATATTTGCAGCAAGGCCTTCTCTGCAAGCTTCATTCCACAAGCCAAAGGGAGCATTCCTAAGTAAGTCGAATCAGATGCAAGCCCTACATCATCCAATGGGGCTTCCTTCCGGGAAAAATGTCATTAGGGTTTCAGCCACACTCATACGTTGATTAGGCTAGGAGGCCCAAGTCCAAATACCTGGTCACTGTGAAACCAGTTGGATGACCACGAGTCAACCATTCTTCCCTAGCCTATTTACTAGGGATCAGGGCTTTTTTAAAAAGAAAAAGCCCAGCAGGAACTGATTAGCATAATAGACCACACCCAACAGCATTAACTCATTAGCCTATTAGGCCACATCTCCATGTCTTCCCTTGGCTTGGCTGGGCACACCGTGGCTGCGGGGAACCTGGGCAAGCCAGCCCTTGGACAGGCCGGGGAAGGCACGGGGAGGCTTTTAAATGCCTCCCCGATCCTTCCAGGGGCCCCCTGGCCCGCCTGCCTTGGAGTCACTGGGGGAGTCGCTCTCCAGGCCTTCCCCTCTTGCCACGCACGCAGAGGTTTTGGCTGTAGTGGGCGTGGCCAACTCTGAACCCAGCCGGAACTCCGTTCCTGCCCCAAAATAGCCCTGCTAGGGATGCACTTCCTAGTTCCCCACCTTTTAAGTCTGTGGCAGCTTCTCATCTGAAGGGTTGCTGGATTTGTCAGAACATCTTTTTGTTGCATAGATCATTTGGGGTTTTGGGTCTTTCTGAAATGGAATTCCTTTGTGCTAATAGCAGTTTATGATTGTGACAACAGGGAAAACAACAAGCCTTTTCAATTCAGATAGTTATATTGATAAATGACATCCTATATTTTAAAAAAAGCAAGTTAGTAATAATGATGCTTTCTGGACAGGTTCCCACTGCCGGATCCAAAATTGATGGGCTACTGGAATGTCAACCAGTTGGGCAACGCAAGGCAGAAGCTTCTGTGCTCAACTGAAACACATCGCATAGACGTAAAGGTTTGTGAACAACATAATCTGGGTTGTAAATCTGTTCTTTTCCAGCAAAATAAGCCACTTTGGGTCTCCATTGGGAAGAAGGGTGGGATATAAATGAAGAAAATAAATACTGTGCAGCTTGCTGATCTCATGAGATCTCATAATCCTGATGGCATACCAGAATCCGAGCGTAGAGTCCTGGAGGCAAGGGTCCCTTCCTTCTCGTGCTGACCTCAGGTGAGCCACTACATTTATAATCAAAGTTTCGCCATTATGCACTTCCACAGCATTGCTCCCCCCCGCCCAGTACGGGTCGGCTCCCCCTTTTTCTCGAAAGTCTGGGAAGTTCAGTTAGGTTCCAGGAGCACCTTGGAGACCAACAAGATGTTTGAGGTGTTGTAGATGCTACACTTGATCTTAGCCAGGAAGCCGAGAAGATCCCTTGGTCAGATCTCTGACCAGGGGTCGTTTCGTAGAAAAACCCATACCTCACCCGGGGGAACTGCGATCCCCCCCCAAAATGACCTCTGTCTCTGAAATTATCTTTGTGGGAAGTTCATGGTGAAGAATATTCTGGAAGAGGCAATGCTGGAGGCTTAAACTTCTTTATGACAATCTATTTCTTTACAAACGGATGCTGTGTGCAGGCATTACAGGGGCACAGGCACAGGGCCTCAGAGACTAGGCTCTACCCCTGGAATCAGAAGTCCAAGCCCCACCCCCCACCCCCCATGAAGCATTCAGCTTCCCTGGCACTGAAGCCTAAAGGAAGGGAACCTTCGCTTGACATAATCACACAACTCAACAATGTTTGACTTCTCTCATAGAGATTTCCTGCACCCCATGGAATTTGTGATTGTATGTAGGCAGGGTTGCCAGGCCTTGGACCTTCATCCTGGCGGGGGGTTGTAGGCCGGCTCCAAGACTCCTCTAAGGTCACCACAGAGTTTTTACCCAAATGCTAGAGTGTCTCCTGAACAATGTGCCCCGCATGATGATGTCACCTCTGGGCACATTGGGCACACCAGGACCTTTTGTAGGTGGGGCTCCCTCTGCTGGCCAGCTGGCTGATGGCAGATTGGGGCCCCCAAAACCAAAGAACCCCCCCCCCCCCCCATATGTAGGTTTGCCCTTAATGATGCCATCTGTAAAGAATGTTGAAGAACCTGAGCTTCAGGGTATTTCTCCTCACTTTCTTTTAGGGTCCACTGTATTTAAATGTGCAGGCATTTCCCGTGGAGAGGCATGACGCCAGGTCCCTGAGTTTCACAGAAGAACATGCTTTTTGGTCTCTGCCTTTGAATGAAGTTAATTTAGTGTGTGACGTTGCTGTGGCACAAGGTAGAGTGGAACCTCGCTTTTGCTAAACTGATGATAATATAAACCTGCAACAACAATAAGAACAATAATAATATAGGTAAAAGGTAAAGGTTCCCTTGCTCGAAAGCCAGTTGAGTCCGACTCTAGGGTTGCGGTGCTCACCTCCGTTTCAAAGCCGAAGAGCCAGCGCTGTCCGAAGACGTTTCCGTGGTCATGTGGCCGGCATGACTAAACACCAAGGCGTATGGAACGCTGTTACCTTCCCACTAAAGTGGTACCTATTTATCTACTTGCCATTTCTTGCTTTCGAACTGCTAGGTTGGCAGGAGCTGGAACTAGAGATTGGAGCTCACTCCATCATGCGGCACCCAGGTCTTGAACTGCTGAACTACTGACCTTCCACAGCCTGCAGTTCAGCATCTTAACCACTTGAGCCACCGCAAATCCTAGGAGATCCTAGGATTGTCTGGAAGCCAGAAGTCTAGCATTTTGCACCACTTTAGCGTTATGCACCACTAGGTGGCGGGCTAGAGTTGTTTCAAAGGCAAGAGACATTTCAGAGATGGGTTTGCCATTGCCTGGCTCTGCGTCACGGCCCTGGTATTCCTTGGAGGCGGCCCTTCCAAATCCTAGCCAGGGCTGACCTTGGTTAGCTTCCAAGATCTGACAAAATAGGCCTAGCCTGGGCTGTCCAGGTCATGGCAACTGCATGAGGGTTGTTCCAGAGGGGAGCCACGTTGGTCTGCAGTAAAAGAGCCAGGTTCGAGTTCAGCAGCACCTTGGAGACCAACAAGATTTCCAGAGCAGATAAGCTTTCAAGAGTCCGTGTTCCCTTCGTCAGATGCCCTCCCTTCATCAGAGAGTACCTGGCCAGGGGGACGTTGACGCCCAAAAGCGTGGCGCCCAAAAGCCTCGTTGGTCTCTGAGGTGCTCCTGGATTGGAGTCTAGCTGCAGAACGATATGGAGGCACACCCCACAGATTAGGGTGTGAATTATTTTGCTTGTTACTTAAAAGCAATTTCATTGAAGAAAAGTTATGTACTTTGAAACTGAAGCTCAAATACTTTGGCCACCCAATGAGAAGGGAGCACTCACTGGAGAAGAAGGCCCTGATGCTGGGAAAGACTGAAGGTCAAAGAAGACGGGGACAGCAAAGTATGAGATGGTTAGACAGTGTCACAGACGCAACGAACATGAAATTGAGCCAACTTCTGAGGATGGCGGAAGACAGGAGGGCCTGGCGGGATCTGGTCCATGGGGTCACGAAGAGTCGGACTCGACTGTGCGACTAAACAACAACATCATCTGCCCATGTCAAAAATTGTATGTGGGCAGTACTGTGAGGGTAGTACCCTAACCCACATTTTACAACATCAGAGTCTCGTATAAAACACAAAAGTGTAGAAGCTCCAATGGTCACTCACTCCATTGAAAAGGGACATGTAGCTGAAGATATGTGGGTTTATTTCCATTGTTATTTCCATTGTTATTTCCAAATGCAATAGACAATCTTACAATAAAATATTCATAAAAGGTTGTTACAATTGGAGAGTTTTTGGATGTTTCAATTGCATGCATTTACTGAGTATGGCTTAAATCAAAGTTTAGATTTTTCATGTTTTGTGTAGTCATTAGTGTTTAGCCTATATGAGGACTGTTACTTTGAGCACAGCTGAAAATAATTAGCACCAGCCAACTATTTATGTTACCAAGTAATGGTAAAAATTAAGAACTTCTACCAACCCTTCTGAGTTTTAAGCAGCTTGTAAGTTTTCATGAAGTTTGGGAGGTATACTGTGTATTTTTATCCTTCTGTAGATGATATATGTTGATATCCTTTTTACGATTTATTTTTTATATGATTTATGATTTTATGATTTATGGAAATGCTTATCCTTGACTCTGATGAAGATTGGAAATGTGATCTCACCTGGGAGACACGTTAGTTTGCTGGAAAGTCATATCCACAGAAAGATACTGATATACCTGCTGTATATCAGAAAACACAAGTCATCTCGGTGCCTGAATTTTTCTTTGAGTTGTTATGTGTGATGTTACGCAACTTTGTTTGACTTGTCGTGGCTCGTCTTTTGTCCTTTGACATGGTATACATATATGTTTAAGATTTATTTAGTAAGACATGTTGTACACATACATTCAACATTCCATATTATGGAGTTTCCTTCTATTATATTGCATTTAACTTTAATATAATTATCAGAAAATAAGCTTGCACAAGTTTTTATTCGTATATAATTGTTAGAAATTGTTTTTTCACAGTGTATTTTGTTTTCTTGGTGTCAGCAGCACTGTGTTCCTATTGATTTATTTTTGTAAATATGCATGGCTGACCCCAAACACCTTGATTCAGCAGCTTCACAAGCTGTGGAGATTTCACCAAGCCCTTTCAACAGACTGCAGAAGCCGAGGCCTCTGCTGCTTCCAAACTAAAGGCTGAGGGCCAAACTACATATTACACAAGGGTTTGGCCTGTTTGGTGTGGTGGTGAAGAGCAGCAGACTCTAATCTGGGAGAACCGGGTTTGATTCCCCACTCCTCCTCCACATGAAGCTGCTGGTTTGACTTTGGGTCAGTCACAAGTTCTCTCAGAGCTGTTCTCTCAAGAGCAGTCCTCGCGAGAGCTCTCTCAGCCCCACCCGCCTCACAGGGTGTCTGTTGTGTGGGGAAGGGAAGGGGAAGGAGATTGTGAGCTGCTCTGAGACTCCCAAGTGAAGGGCCATGGGGTATCAATGCAGTCCTCCTCCTCCTTCTGCCAACATCATTTTATATAACAATTTGACCATTTAAAATGCCACACAGGGAGCCTGTTTTGACACTTGAAAAGAGCAAGATTACCCCCCCGTGCCATGTAGGGTGGCCAACCCCCAGGTGGTGACTGGAGCTCTCCTAGAATGGCAACTGGCCTCCCGATGACAGGGATCCGTCCCCCTGGAGGAAGCGGCTGCTCTGGGAGGCGGGTTCCCTGGCCTCCTGCTCTCCCTTGGCCCCATAGCCCTGAGAGGGACAGTGGGACGGGGATAAGTGGGAGAGAGGGCGCACTGCACTTGCATGTCCGCCCTTGCCCAAAGGAGCCGTGTTGTAGATGTGTGGTTGGCAGAGGTTGTGGCTGCTCCATGTTCTGTGCGGGGGCCCTCCAGTTCCCAAACTCTGGGGCTAAATGTGTGAGCTTCCCCACCTTGACTTCCGAAGCACTGGATGTGTAATGAATGTGTCAGATTAAACATATTTAAATGTGCTCTTGTTGTAAAGTCAAAGTAACTGTGTTAGTCCCCAAACAACCTTTTCATCACAGAGAAATCTTGAATGTGCCCCTAATCTGCTTATTTCCTCTCCTCTTCTTTAAAGAGAATGAAACCAAAAACTCCCTTTATGTGGCTACTTGCAATCCAGTGTCTTTATACTTTATGGAAACATCCAGTGCAAATGGATATTATGTCGACTTGTATGATATCTTCCCAAGGACGGTTGGAGGCGTCTGGCAACCTCTTGTGACTGTGGCGGCACTGGGAGGTCCGCTCCAAGGACAAGTCATTCTGCACGAAGAGCAGGTAGAAAATCTGCTTCCTGTTTCTGGGCAGTCAGTTCTCTCCCTCTGATGCCTGTTCCTCCTCCCTAAGCAGGCAGACTTCCTGCTCTCCTCCTGCTGCATTAGATGCTGCCTGTGGGGCGGAAAAAGCACCACGTGAGATATGAGATCACCGTCCCTGCTTTGCATGCCTAAATGAGGGAAAGGAGGCGGAGACGGGCAACTCCTGCTTGTGGGGGTGGGGATGCGTCACTCACCACCCTACGTCACGCCAGACGGAATCTGAAGGGCCATCCTGTGGCTGCCCTTTGGCAATGCTAATGGTTGCCATTTGGCCTGGCGGAAAACTCCTCTTCCCTCAGCCCTTATTCCTTTGCATCTCAGTCTCGGTCCACCATAGCCAGGAGAACGGAAAATACATTCCAAAGCAGTCTTCTTCCTTTTTTTTAACCATTAGTCATAGAATCATAGAGTTGGAAGGAACCTCCAGGGTCATCTAGTCCAACCCCCTGCACAATGCAGGTCTTCAACATAGCACAACAACCCTGTGAGGTAGGCTATGATGAGAGAGTGTGACTGGCCGTGAAAAGGAAAAATAGATGTGGGAAGTTTTATAGTATGCAAAGAGGATGATAAGCAGTGAAGAACTAGGTAATGTTTAAATATTTTGCTTAAGAACATAAGAGAACCCAATGTTGGATCAGGCCAATGTCCCATCCAGTTCAACACTCTGTGTCACACAGTGGCCAGAAATACCAGGTGCCATCAGGAGGTCGAGCAGTGGGGCCAGGACATTAAAAGCCCTCCCACTGTTCCCTCCCCCCCCCAAGCACCAAGAATACAGAGCATCCCATGCCCCAGACCCAGAGTTCCTATCTATACCTTGCAGCTAATAGCCACTGATGGACCTCTGCTCCATATGCTTATCCAATTCCCTCTTGAAGCCGTCCATGCTTGTAGCCGCCACCACCTCCTGTGGCAGTGAATTCCATGGGTTAATCCCTCTTTAGGTGAAGAAGTACTTCCTTTTACCTGTTCTAACCCGAACGCTAAGCAATTTCACTGAGTGCCCACGAGTTCTTGTATTGTGAGAAAGGGAGAAAAGTACCTCTTTCTCTACCTGTTCTATCCCATGCATAATCTTGTAAACCTCGATCATGTCACCCTTTAGTCGTCGTTTCTCCAAGCTAAAGAGCCCCAAGCGCTTTAACCTTTCTTCATAAGGAAAGCTGTTAGCCGAACTGCCTTAATTTATGAATAAATGTGGGGAATTATGAGTATTAAATTGCAATAGGCATTAAATATAGGATCAGAACCTATGTTTGCGGGAGTTTGATTTCCCAGTCCCAGAAATAGACGCAGAGGCTAGATTACTAAAGCAGTGATTTCTTTACTGAAGGATTCTTAAACAGACAAACATAAAATCAAGCATTCACACACACACAGTACAGAACTAAGGAAGCAGAGGTGATTGATAGCTAATGGAGGGGTCAGTTATGGGGTGATACTACCTGTCCACACATGCAGAGGCCCATGAAGAAGGGATTGTGGCCCAAACCCAAAGGTTTGGGGTTGGGCTGCCAGTTGGCATCAGGGGCAGAGGCACACAGTCTGAAGCCATGTGCTCTGACGGATCTAGACATTGGAAAGCAATGCAGACCGGTGGGAGGCCTTGGGGGCTGGTCTCAGGTGAGAACAATAGATCTTCTAGACCAATAAGGAGTCCATGGAGGTGTGGTACAAGGCAGAGTGTAACTCAGGAGTGACCAGTGGTGTCCCAGAGGGGCAGAGTCAGGCTTTAACAATAGCTATAATGGGATTAAGCCAGGTGCTGGATAGGTGGCTGGGAGTGTCCATTGTGGAACAACAGAGTGGCCTGGCGTTTCCCTGGTGCCAGACAAAGGAGGGGAAGATCCTTAATGTTTGACAGGAGGAAGCTGAATGGAGACAGGATTATTCCAGAGGTATTTCCTGACATACAAGTGAAGCAGAAACTGGGGCTAGCTGAATGGATTTTACGTCCATTGATGATCCTGCCAAGGCAGTTGAATAGGTTCCCAGATATAGACAAAGGATGGGAGGTGGGTCCCTGATTAGTGTCAGGAAGGATCACTAATAATTTGAATGCTGGATTGGTTTATCTCAGTATCCTGAGGGATGGCGCAAGGAAGGACAAGTACTGAGACAAAGAATTCACACAAATAGACATGGGATGACCAACAAAAGGGCTGGGTGAGGGACTGGAGTCAGGAGGGCTATTCGCCAGGTGGTCTCTGAGTAGCCTTTAGAAATGTAGGTACTACACCTGGTGGAACCGCCATTGTCATTCAACAATCATATCTCTGCTGGGTGGAGGGGGGGGGAGAGACTGGAGGTTTGCCCTCAGGGCTGTCTTGTTGCCACCTGAATGTGGAGACCCTTTTTCAGAGCTGTGTGTTTCAGGACCAGGAGTGTCTTCCTTGGCCTGAGTTTTGTGGGTCTCTGAGTCAGGTTAGAAGTGGGGTGCCCCTGCTATTGGGGCTACCTGAGATGCAAGCAGCTCTTCTGGCAATAAAGTATTCCAACCCTTTTATCATTCTGGTTGCCCTTTTCTGCACTTTTTCCAATGCTATATTTTTTTTTGAGGTGTGGTGACCAGAACTGTACACAGTATTCCAAATGAGGTCACACCATTGATTTATACAGGGGCATTATGATACTGGCTGATTTGTTTTCAATACCCTTCCTAATAATCCCCAGCATAGCATTGGCCTTTTTTATTGCAGTCACACACTGTCTCGACATTTTCAGTGAGTTATCTACTACGACTCCAAGATCTCTCTCTTGATCAGTCTCTGCCAGTTCAGACCCCATCAATGTGTATTTATATTTAGGATTTTTGGCTCCAATGTGCATCACTTTGCACTTGGCCACATTGAACCCCATTTGCCACGTTGACACCCACTCGCCCATCCTTGACAGATCCCCCTGGAGTGCCTCACAATCTTCCCTGGTTTTCACCACCCTGAACAATTTTGTGTCATCCGCAAATTTTGCCACTTCACTGCTTACTCCCAACTCCAAATCACTAGTAAACAAATTAAAAAGCATCAGACCAAGTACTGATCCCTGGGGTACCCCGCTTGTTACCACCCTCCACTGAGAAAATTGCCCATTTATACTCACTCTCTGTTTCATATTAATTAGCCAGTTTTTTATCCACAAGAGGACTTGTCCTTTTATCCCGTGACTGTTGAGCTTACTCAGGAGCCTTTGATGAGGAACTTTATCAAAAGCTTTCTGGAAGTCAAGGTAAACAACATCTATTGGGTCCTCCCCCTTGTCCACGTGTTCGTTCACCCCCTCAAAGAACACTAACAGGTTAGCGAGACAAGATCTTCCCTTACAGAACCCAGGCTGCTGAGTGTGCCTCAGTAGTTTCTGCTCATCAGTGTGCTTCCCCTTCTCCTTTGCAGGTATCAGCTTCCCTTTCCCTGAACTACAGTTAAATACTTGTTTGAAGTAAGCTTTTCTAAAGGCAGGAAAACCCTGGTGAAGTCACAGACTGTGGCAAGGAAAGGGAAGCTTTGCAGTAGCTAAAAATAAAAGCGCACCCCCTCCAAATAATGGCTGTTGCATCTGTTGAGTGTTTGGGCTCCAAGGCAGTCTAGGGAGGCCGGGTCACCCAGAGGTCTCTCCTCTCCCAGTAGAAAATAAACACCAGAGAAGCAGCGGAGCGGCCACAGCTTCTCGTCCCAGCCCACTGGAAGGACTCTGCCAAAGCGGCTGCAGCTGGACACGTGTGTTCTCACCGGTGACGCAAACTCCTATTTTTATACACCCAACTAATACACCAGCAGTCACTCGGTGCATATGGGAACCATTAACATCCAGGATTGTGGAGGAGAGAACTGCCTTGCTATTTGTCCAGCTGACTCTGTAAACTTCACGTGCACTGAAAGAACAGAACCCTGTTTTTGTGCCTCAGGGAGACTTGGAAAATCTTAACGATTTCCTTGGTTCAGTTGCACGAATGCATGTAGAGATTCTCCAAGAAGTGAGGAAAGAAAGGCCATTTCTTTGTCTGGAAATCCAGAGGTTCATTGTTTTTCTCCATGAAGTACTTTTGCATAAATGGGGTCTCTGGTGTGGTGATAACTTGGAAGTGATTTGTAAACTGTGCAGAAAATCCCATGCTAATGCTGGATAATGGTTTGCTGTGTTTGAACCCCCTGAATGATCTTTTTTAAAACAAGATTTTTGTTTCTCAGAATATAGGACAAGTCTGGGACAGGATTGGGACTGCTTGTGTTGCATTCTTGATGTCCTTTTAGATTGTTCATCCTTTTCTAAATTCTGATGTGCTAGAATTAGAGCACCAGTTGGATAATTTTAATCAATGATTGCCAGGGAAATTCCTGGAGATGAAGGAAAGTGCTGCAGCAACATCGCAAGTGCCAGTCTTTGTTTAAGGGAAGATCCTGCAGAGGTGTGTGTGTGTGGGGGGGGTCTGGTGCTCACAGAGAGCCCACCCTCCAAAGCAGCCGTCTCCTCCAGGGGGAACTGATCTCTGTTGCCTGAAGATAAACTGTAATCCCTGGAGATCTCCAGCTGTCACCTGGAGGGTGGCAACCCTAATTTTTAACCCAGTAATTTAACAGAGTGATCTGCAGTAGGTCTCTGATTGTTTCTGTGCTGTCATCTCAAGCATCATCACATCCAAGTTTGTAGATTGTTTTCTCTGCTTTCTAACCGGGGGGGGGGGGGTGACATGACTCCATGCCAGGAGTTGGAGTGTCCGAGAAACGTGAACAAAGAAATACGCTTGAGAGTCTCCGTCTTCTTGTCAAAGGTGTATGTAGGAACTCAACTAGTTTTTTTCCTGGAAAGTGAAATCCACCTTAAGCTCTACAAAGTCCTCTCCTGCTTTCTTTCAAGAGTCTGTGTTGCTGCACAGCTTGACATGTACTACAAGGGGATGTAAAATTTATCCTTTCTCTGTGCAGACGAATGCCATTCTGTTGCTGGACACCAACACGCATACCATACGCCAACTGCTGCTGTCCCCAGAGATGTGTGAGGCTCCCAGAAGGACGTCCTGGTGGGGCAGCAAAGAGGAGGTGGGGAGAAAGAGCACCCTCTTGGCCAGGATGCGTGAAAGTGCAGGGGGGGCCTCCACGAGCAGAGCAGCCTGGTGGCTTCCCGTGTAGGCTCAGTGGGTCGCACACAGTCCACTGTCTATCACTGTGTGCCTGTGCAGGGACACACAGCCATATCCTTATGTCCTTATCCTGACGCATGTCCGCACTTCATGCATCTGAAGCAAGCTGTGCTGGCTTTTTTTTTAAAGGTGCTACCAAAAAGGTACTGACCGTCGCATACAAAGCCCTTCATGAAGATAGACTCAGGTGGGCAGGTGTATTGGTCTGAAGCAGTAAAACAGAGTTTGTGTCCAGTGGCACTTTTAAGACAAACAAAGTTTAATCCTGGGGATACGCTTTCGTGTGCAGACACACTTCTGAAGAAGGATGCATGCACATGGACGCTTATCCCCAGAATTAAACTTTGTTGTTCTTAAAGGTGCCCCCGCTGGACCCAAGCTTTGTCCTAAAGCCCTTCGTGGCCTCGGTGCCTCATGTCTACGGGACCCCCCCCCTCCTTCTGTGCACTCCCATGACAGCTTCACTCTTCTGAAGACAGCCTTCGATGGGTTTCCACCCTAAAAATGGGCAAGATCAGCCACTGCCCACACTCGTGCCTTCCTTGTGGGATGGCCTGCCTGAGGAGGTCAGGAGGGCTCCCCTCCGCCTGCCTTTCTACAAACGGTGCAAAACTGGATTATTCAAGAGGGCTTTTCTGCACAGGCAGTACTGCTGCAGTGTAGCGATGTGGCTCAGAGAGAGGCTTGGGGTGGACGGTTGGGGACTGGGGAGTCTCATCAGCTCTCGGAAGCTAAGCAGGGCCGGCCCAGGTGAATACGGGAGGAAGTCCAGGGTGGCTACGCAGAGGCAGGCCATGGCGAACCACCTCTGAATGCCTCTTGCCTTGAGGATCCCTTGAGGGGTCTCACCAGAAGCCAGCTGTGACCTGGGGGCAAAACAACCACCACCACCCCACTCGCACACACAGGCACACCCAGGGGCACACGTTCTGCTGCTGTAAGTAGGCTCCCTCTTCTGTGCGGTTTTTGCTTTCATTTATCGTATCATGTTAATACCCACCCTGTGCTTCGCCTCTGGCTGGTTTTCTGGCTCTCTCCAGGCCAGATGCCCCGCGGCCTGGTCTCCTGGGTGCCCGGCTCTGCCAGGTGTGCTGAACGGGTCTGTGCCGCCTGCCTTGAGTCCCAAAGGGAAAGGCCCCTCCAGAGGAACTCTCTGGCTCCTGGGTGGGAGACGGGAGGCTGGACTAGATGGGCCCCCCCCCTGGTCTGACCCAGCAGGATCCTCCTCGGGTTCTCCCTGTTCAGCAGTCCCCTTGCTTCTTATTTGCCGCCTTCAGACTTAAAGCCTCCTTCTCTGTTGTGGTCATGCCAGACCACACATGCCTACTGGGCTTCAAGCTCAGCAGCAGCACCTGCCCAGAGAAGACAGGCCCCAGCGGCCTCCCGAGCACTCCGTCAGAAGCCCCCCCCCCCCCCCCCGCGCGCCGCGCTTTGGGGGGGGGGGGGGGGGGGGGGGGGGAGAGGGGCGTGTGCCTGCCTCTGCATGCAAAGGGCTTGCTCTCCCTGGCACGTCCACTTCAAAGGGTTTCAGGTACCCAGTGCTCTTTTCTGGTTTGTTTTTTTAAAAACATACCAATGTTCACATGTCGCCCTGGCCTGGATATCCTGGGCTTGCTCAATCTTGCCAGATCTCAGAAGCGAAGCAGGGTCGGCCTTGGCTAGCAGTTGGATGGGAGACCTCCCAGGAATACCAGGGCCATGACGCGGAGGCAGGCCAGGGCAGACCACCTCCGAGTGTCTCTTGCCTGGAGAAGGAGGAGAAGAAGAAGAAGAAGAAGAAGAAGAAGAGATTGGATTTAGACCCCATGGTGGCCCTTCACTACCCGAAGGAGTCTCAGAGCGGCTGACAAACTCCTTTCCCTCCCCCTCCCCACAACAGACACCCCCTGTGAGGTGGGCGGGGCTCAGAGAGCTCTTGAAAGAAACTGCTCTTTTTTCAAGAACAGCTCTGACAGAAACTGGCCCCCCCCCCCCGAGGTTGCCATGAGGCAGCTGTGACTTCCCACCACCACCTTTCCTATATAAAGTTGCACCAATTTCCATCTGTTCCCCCCACCCACCCACCCTGGGACTTGGGAGAGCCCCTAAAAAAGGTGTCTGTACACAATACTGGTGAGTACCACCACCACCACCCAAAAAAGGAGCAGCAGCCCTGCAGGTAACGGAGCTGCAAGAGTTAGGCTGAAGTTAGCATCTCTGATCAACCGACGATCGGACACAGCTTAATTTAAGAACTCATTCTTCATCCACTCTTCGCTTACACAGTCAGGAATCCAGGTTATGTTGGAGAGTGACTAGATACAGGCACTTGTAATCTATGTGTAAGTAAAGAGCATCCTACTGGGGAATGGTGTTATACTCTGTGGCAGAGCCAAACAAGGGTGTATGTCATGTTTCTGATGATGTGACCGGTTCCGCCTGGCGGGGAGCTGCATTACCTAATGGGTTATTTCACTCCAAGAGAACTGTGGCCAGATAAGCAAGATTGTGGGCGGTATTTTCTCCCAGATAGATTTGCTATAAATTTAGGTGTCTGACTATAAGCATCTTTTTTTATATAATGGCCAGGTATTGTCTGTGTGTGTGTGTGTGTGTGTGTGTGTGAAGTCGCTGCCAAATTAGGGTGACTCTGTAGGTTTTCCGAGGCAAGAGAAGTTCAGTGTCGTGGCCCAGGGCTTCCCTGTTGGTCTCCCATCCAAGTCCTGCCCAGGCCTTCTGAGATCTGGTGAGATGGGTCTAGCCTGGGCCATCCAGGTATTTCTAGCCTGGTATTTCTAGCAAGGAACAAAACTATTAAAATATTATAGTATTTTGAGATTGTTAACTTTGCCATTTGTTTTCCTTAGAGCAGTCATAAAATGTGCAAAGAGTTTTCACACAAAAACTGGCTTGTGTTCTACAAAGAAGAAGGGTGAGCAGTGACTCTCCTTTCCCACATCCTACCCTCAGGGCTGAAAAATGCCCTTCTCTTCATATCGTCCTGTGTCCAACACTTGTGGGTTTTTTTACCACTGTTTCCTAGGAGCCACCTAGTTGTTCTCGATGCCCTGGAGGGCCGTGTTCACACCATCTCACTCCCAGTCAGCCTCAAGTCTGTCTTTTTGGTGGCCGAAGACCAGTGGCTCCTGGTGGAAAGCAAGACAAACCAGTAAGATAGACAAAGTCCTACGTGGACCTCTATGGTCAGCATGTAAACATAAATGTTTTTGGCTTGACAGGATTTTCTGTCATAACTGCTCTCTAGAGACACGTTTACTTAGTTCTTTTACATGCATCTCTCTTGATATGATTGTTCGCACACCAATGTAAAGACTTCCACACAATGCTTCCTGGCATGCTTACAACCCACATAAGTCGTGTTTGGTCTTCTTGGGAGGCACCTTGCTTGTTCATTTGGACAAAGATGGGAGCAAGCACAGAGAGAGGCTGGCATTCCCATTTACAGAAGAAGAGATGCTGGTCTCTGCTAATTCCCCCCCCCCCCCCCTTGTGCTGTTCCTGAGTGAACACAGATGGGCTGCAGCGGGAGGAGAAAGCAGGAAAATCCACCTCTGCCAAGTCTGCGGATGGCTGGAGACATGCCTAAGAAAAGTATGGTGCATAGACAAAGCTATGCGTGCCAGTAGTGTTCCCTGACGGGGGGGAAGAACTCATGAGGGAACGGGCCTGGTTCACAGGGGGGCTTTTCCCGAGTGAGATTGCTCGCTGGAGGATGGGAAGCTCATAGAGGGGCTCTTCTCAGCCCAGATCGAAATGACAAATACACTCTGGGAAGAAAAGTGGAGGAGAGACTCCGCTGCTTTATCATTTTTAACCACACTCCTTTGTGTACAAAAGGAAAAGTAAATTGGGTTAATGAGGACTTAATCCTGTGGTAAGTGATCTTCACTACACATCCTGAATGTCTACAAATGTTAACCTTGAAAATATCTAAGTTCTCCTTTCTTCTGGGCACAAATACGACAAATGTTAACCTTGAAAATAAGTTCTCCTTTCTTCTGGGCACAAATATCCTATATATATAATTCTCTTACGTACTGGCCATTTCCAGCTCTTCCATTGGCTGTGCAGTACACTCCATCAGCCATTGGCTCATCAACCGCCACTCAAGAGTACTTGTGTGCCATTGGCTGCGTGTTGAGTCTGCTTCTCTCCCCCACCCACTGCCAGCCTGGACACTCTTCCCCCACAAAATGGCTGTCTCTCCTGACGAAGACACTTCTCCTTGGCTCCTGTGGGACTAACTTTTCCCTCAATGGCTGTTGCTAGGCAACCAAGCTTGGTTTTGTCAGTAAATAGGCAAAGGAATGAAGCCCTTTCCAGGCCTTTGTGGGGTACTCATTGTGGCCAGTCCTGACTAGGGTTGCCAGATCCAGCGTGGGGAATGCTATTCTGTGGTGGAGTCTAAGGAAGCCAGGGTTTGGGGAGGGGAGAGGCCTCAGCTGAATGGAATGCCATAGAGCCCACCCTCCAAAGCAGTCATTTTCTTCAGGGGGGAGAGATCTGTTGTCTGGAGTTCAGTTGTGATACCTGGTGATCGTTAGGCCTGGTGATACCCCCCCTCAAAATGACAGCTGCAATGTGTGGAGCCACCATATCATCCATCTGTCTCACCTGATTCCTTGTGTACAGATGTTACTTGGTGTGGTCCCAATGAAGCTGATGGGTAGTAAATTTAAAATGGAAAAAAGAAAATACTTCTTTACGCAATAAGGGACTAAAATATGGAATTTTACTTCAGAGGATGTAGTGATGGCCACAGGCATAGACAGCTTTAAAAGGAGATTAGACAGATTCATGGAGAAGAAGTCTATCAGTGGCTACTAGGTCTGAACCTCCACGTTCAGAGGTAGTAAACTCCTGAATCCCAGAGCCAGGAGGCAACATCAGGGGAAGTCCTCAGCCTCTGTGCCCTGTTGCTGGCCCTCGAGAGGAACTGGTTTGCCACTGTGTGAGACAGGAGACTGGACGAGATGGACCCTCACTGGTCTTAATATCAGGGGAAGGCCTCGGCCTCTCTACCCTGTTATTGGCCCTCCAGAGGAGCAGTTTGGCCACTGTGTGAGCCTGGATGCTGGATGAGATGGACCCCTAGTCTGATCCAGCAGGGCTCTTCTTATGTTCATAATATCAAGGGAAGGCCTCAGCCTCTCTGCCCTGTTATTGGCCCTCCAGAGGAGCAGGTTGGCTACTGTGTGAGACAGGATGCTGGACGAGATGGACCACTGGTCTGATCCAGTAGGATTTTTCTTATGTTTTTATGATTTGGAATGGAGCTGCAGACAGCGGCATTCATTAGATACCTGTAGATGATTATGGGAAGGAGATTGTAGCATTTATCCGTTTAACACCATCTGTGAGCAATTTCCTCATAATTTGCAGAAAGTATCTTTTGACGAAGCCTGTGCCCATGGCCTCTGAAGAGAGTCACATTTGCCAGTTACATGCCGTGAGTGAGGAGCCAGTGGAGGCTGGATTTGGAGTAACCACAGGTATGGAGGTTAGATTGCCTTGCTCTTTGTCTCTCCAGGTTTCCACATGCTCAGATGTGCCTTGCACAATTGCTGTCGGTTATTATAACTGTGAAAAAAGGATACTTGAAAAACATCTCTGACAGTCTTCCATTGTGGGTCAGAGGATACAGTTTTGGGCCTGGACTTGGGAGGTACGAGTCCCTGGTCCATTGTGACTCCAGCTTGGAGAAACGATTTTTTTTTTCTAGTTCTTAGTGATTAGCGAAAGGACACTCCCCTAGTTCTTAGTGATTAGCGAAAGGACACGTGACTAAAAAGAACATCAGAGACCAACTCAAGGTGTTGATTTTGTCCTATAAAGCCCTACATGGCTTGGGGCCGAGATATCTGAAGGACCCGTCTTCTCCCACATGTCCCTGCCTGGGGATTACGCTCACTGGGAGAGACACCGCCTGACTGCCCCGCAAATCAAAGACCTTCGGTTTGGTGGGTACACATGAGAGAGGGAGGGGGGGCCTTTTCAGTGGCAGACCCACAACTGAGGAACAGCCCCCCCAGGGAGGTGAGGGCCCGGCCTTCTGGTTGCCAGTCTTCAGGAGGCAGTTGAAGATGGTTTTAATTAGGGTTATATTTGACTGATTTAGTTTTTATTTATTGGCAGTCCTAACTGGAGTTTTTAAATTGTGAGCTATTTGGGGTTTTTATAATTGTTGTTTTCTGTGTATTGTTTTTTATTTTTATTTTTAATAATCATTTTATTTCTATTATAAAGTGCCTTGAGTTCTGTAAGGGAGAAAGGTGGTTCATAGATGTTTTAAATAAATTAATGAAATAAGTAAAGACCTTGGTATCGTCTCCTGAAATCTTCCAAATACCCCGAGTAGGAGTATTCAAATGGCAGGAGAGGCCGTCTGTGGTCACCTGGGAACAAAGTCTGAGCCCAGCCGGGGGCACCTTTGAGACCAGCAAAGTCTCATTCGAGGGGTGAGCTTTCGTGGGCACGGCCACTGCCTCAGACACCGTGAAATGGGAGTTACCAGTCCCTACACATAGGCAGAGGGTGGGGAGCAAATGAGGATACAACATAATGAGGATGTTTTGACAGATGCAAGCTACAAACAGGAACAACAAGCTTAGATTACCATTTGTTTGGGTTTAATTTGCGGGGGGGGAAACATAGTGAAGGAAATAAATACGTCCAAATTGGAGACTGATGAGCAGATGTATCCTAAACTGTGGAATACTGAGAGTAATTAACTGAGGCCCTGCCATTACGCCTCAGTAAGCCTCAGCAGGAGAGCTAATTTCCAAATGTTTGATACAAATTTGCAGAGACCTCTTTTTTCCTTTTCTTCTCCTCCCCTCCTGCCAGCAGCACCATACATTTCCCACTGAGCCAGGCGGTGCTGCAGCTGCACGGGAGGCTGGTGTTCCTGCTTGGTTCGTGCGGAGAAGCGGAGGGGGGGGGGAGGATTCTTACTTTAACATGCCAAGGTGCATGTGGGTGAAGGGGAGCGACATCTCGCCCCCTGCCCCGCTTTGCTTCTTCACGGTCCACTTCCCGAGGGCCTTTTCTCCCAGCCTAACTTTGATTCCAGGAGTTGGCATGATGGAAGACAAGTGCTTGAGGTGCTGGGGCTATGCCGGGGAAGGCTCAGTGTCAGAATCCTGGTTAAATCAGTTCTCTTTGAAGAAAGTTTAGTTTATTGAGATGTTGAAGGATACCGTACTGAACATGAGCTTTGTTAGGACTGAGGGTGAAAGCGCGAGGATTGCAGATATATTGTGTTCAAGCAAAGGCACCAAAGATCAGGACCCAATCAGCCCATGGCATTTGCCCGCCAGAAACAAAGGTCAACTACCCCCCCACACACACACACACACTAAGCACGTACCCTTCTACAGAAACAAGGCAAAGCCTTTAGGAAAACGAAAGCATTTGGTCTTCACACCCCTCTCCCCCCTCCTCCTTCCTCTATGGCAGGCGAACCATAAAATGCATCCTGAGCCTGGCACTCAGCTCCCTTCACCCACACTCCTTTTTTCATGCCTGAGAAAGTGAGAATGAGCCTGGGTGTTTATAGTGACTAGAACTGGGAGAGCCCGGGTTCAGAGTTCTGCTCAGCCCCATGAAGCTTGCTAGAGGACCTTGGGCCAGTCACACTTTCCTAGCCTAACCTACCTTGCAGGATTGTTGTTGAGAGGTCCCCGAGCCCCTTGGAGGAAGAGCAAGATTATTTGTTCACCTGTATCCCACCTTTCTCCCCTCTGGAGACCCAAAGCAGCTTCCTCGGTTCTCCCCTCCTCCATTTCATCTGCAAAACAGCCCTGTGAGGCGGGTCAGGCTGAGAGGATGTGACTGGCCCCAGGTCCGGCTTCCATGAAGGCAGAGGGGGGATTCGAACCTGGGCCTCCTGGATCCTGCCCCAACACTCTAGGCGCCACACCTCACTGGCTCTCCAGGATGAAACATGGTAAGGAGAAAACCACCAGCCTCGTGGCATGTGAAAGAGATACAGATGTGCATGAATCAGCCCAGAAGCCCTGGCAGAGCTAGGCTGGCCCTTGGGTGGGTGGGTGGGGGGCATTGGCATCAGAAATATTTTATACAAATTTTCTTTCATTGTTGTAGACCTCGGAACCTATTTTCCAAACTCTATTCCGTACTTTCTTCAGATACCCAGAGAGTCGGACATCAACACATGTTTTTAACATAATTTAGAGAGCAACCCTAAGGAGTTCTATGCAGGAATAAATCCAATTTTATTCCATGGGGCTTACTTCCAGGAATTTAGGAATACATCTTTAATAATTGGCAGAAGGGAGAGGGAGTTAGTTATTCTATTTTGTATGCTTTAAACTATGATGCTTTTAATTGTGATGTGCAAGCAGCCTTGGGCTCTGAGGAATGGTGAGAGAGGGAGAGATTGGCATTCATAAATATAAATAAGTATGTAACAAACTCACTTCATGAGCTATAACTTTGAAAGTCATGGTTATTCTGGTGTTCTTACCAGATGTGTTCATAAAATTGTTTGCCATGGCATTTGCCTTTGCTTTGGTAACATATTTTATTTATACCCCGCCTTCCTCCCCAGTGGGGGGGACTCAAAGCAGCTCACGTCCTTCTCCTCTCCTCCCTTTTATCCTCACAACAACCCTGTGAGGTAGGTGAGGCTGAGAGCGTGCGACTGGCCTAAGCTTCCATGGTAGAGGGAGGATTGGAACCTGGGTTTCCCAGGCCCAGCACTCTAACCGCTACACCACCCTGGTTCTCAGAATGTAAGAACTTGAAATAGCCAATATAGAAACATATCCTGTATGTCTGCTGCAAGAAAGTCACCCAAATGCACTCATGAGAGCCTGAACTGGGATGTGGAAATGGTGCCTGGGAGGCTCCGCTTGCTTCTTCGTGCCAGCAGCCAGAGGACCAGAGGACGACTTAATCTCAACTTTTCAAGGTTTTGATCGATCCCAAAGGAACTGCTCCTGTGTTTTGCACAGTATGACCTAGCAGCTCCTGAACTAGAAAAGCCCTTATCAACCTGCCTGCCTAGTTTTCTACTTTGCTTCTCTGGATTAAATAAATTGACTTTTGTTTGTTCACTTTATGTTTTTCCCAGCTTCGGAAGTGATTGAGCCACAAGCCGTTGCCAGTGACCAGCTGTCTTCAGAGAACCTCAGTGCAGCCATTGGGCAGAATATCAGCTCACCCAACAGAATGCTCTCTGATGAACAGAATTACGCCACTCTTGTGGTTGGCTTTCCAGACCTCACGGTAGGTGCTGCATCCACCATTTTTGTTTCATTTGGCATTCCCTCAATGATAAGACCACCAGAAGAGCCCTGCTGGATCAGATAGGCTCTGCATCATTCTGCCTCAAAGACTGTGTCTGCAAATGACAAGCCCCCCAAAATCATAGAGGAGGGATTGCCAACGTTTCTGCAGGATAAGTGTGATGAGGAAGAGGCACGGGAAACTGGTGCTCACTGGGGAGTTCAGGGTCTCTCGCTCATGATCCTCCCTCCCTGGGATCCAGCCTTGCCCCAGATCCCGTTCCTAAGGCCTCAGGCTTGGGAGGGGGGGTTGTGGGCACCTATTCTGTGCTGTCTGGATCAGGGAGCCGTTCTCGTCTTTGTCTGCTGTTTCTCCGTCCCTTTTAGAACAGGCCCAACCGACTGCACAGGCCTTCTGCACACGTCCAGCCTCTCGCAAGAAGTCCGGAGGCTCCCCATTGCAGAGGCAGCTGCCCCCTGTCCCTCGCTCACCACCCACCTGGCTCGCGTGGTCCGAGGTTGCTAGACAGAGGCAGGCAACGGCAAACTGCCGCTGTTCGTTTCTGGCTTGAAAACCCTGCAGAGTCGCCATAAGCCGGCTGTGCCTTGATGGTGCTTTCCACCACTGTGTTTTGCTTCTCTCCTCCTTTTCCGCAGTCCTCCAACGAGGTCTACAGCTGGAAGAGAGGCTCCACCCTGGGCAAGGGCCAGCCTTTGCCTTCTGACCCGCTTTACTACGGAAGGCCCGGCAAGGGCAGGAGGGCAAAGCGAACCAACTGTGTGACCCTCACAGCTGCCGGCCAGGTGGTCAGAGTTCTGGCTCCAGGGGATGTGCCTCTGAAGGAGCTGTACTCCAAAGGTAACCCAACCACCTCAAGCTCGTCTGGCATCTGGGAAATTCCTGGAGATTTTTTTGGGGGGGGGAGCCATGGGGAGGGCGGGGTTTGGGGGAGGGAGGCACCGCAGCGGGGGCAGGATGCCATAGTGCCCACCCCCCTCCCCCCCAAAAAACCCCCGGCCATTTTCTCCAGGGGAACTGCGGGAGAGCTCCAGGGGCCATCTGGAAGTTGGCAACCCTAGATATAGGGGGGATTATTGAGGTGTTCAGTTTAGGCCACAATCTTATGCATATGAGCTGGAAGAAAGTGGGATTACTTCTGAGTAAACTGGTATCAAATCGGGCTATAAGATTCCTAGCTGAGTGTGGAAGAGATTGGAAGGTTACTGAAAAGCAGCACACGACTCTTTGCCAGACAAAAAAAATGTACAAGTGCAGAATCTTTTCTTCTTCATTTGTAACCTTGGGGTGTTTTCCCCCTCTCCTGCCTTCCTTCCTTTTCTATTTCATTGTTCCTCTAGTGATTTAATTGATTATTTGTAGTGTCTCATGAAATGTTGCTACTTTAGTGGAAGGATGTTTTAATTATTAGTCTAGGTTTTTTTATGATGCTGTTATTTATCGCTTTCTCTAAGCTGCCCGAAGATGATTTGGTAGAAAGCTGCTGTAATTTTTTTAAAAGCAAAATATAAAACATATTGGGTGCGTTCAGACGGGGGCTTTACAACGGAATAGGTGCCGGTTCCAACCGGTGTACTTACCGGCATTCACACGGCGAACATCTGCCTCCTGTCCCTAACCTTTGTAAAGCCCTTTACACCATTGCACTCTGCCACTAGGTCCCCAAGTGGTGGTATCCTGAGTGCAACGGTTGTAAACACTGTACCTCGCCGTCTGATCGCTCTCCACCGTTGCACAGCTACTTCCGTTTGGAAGCCTGAGGCTTCCAATTTTCGCCCGCCATTTTTTTTAAAGGACGGCGATATGCGCTTGGGCGAAGCTTTGCCCTGCCGTTTGTATAAAAAAGAAAAGAAAAGGGCCTTACTGTAGCGTTTCGGAGGCGTCCGGGACCTCAGGGAGGCTACTGTGCCCTTTAAACTTTAAAGGTAAGTCCTTACCTTTAAAGTTTAAATGTAAGACAGGATTTTTTGCACATGCGCGAAGATCGCCATTTTATGAATGGCTGCCTATGCGCATGCGCAAACTAAGTTTAAAAACAAACCGACAACAAGTGTGGACGGGCGTATTGCAATGGGATCCGCAAAATGGAGGTAAGTGTGATCGCGTTTCAGCCGGCATAAACTGCACCGGTTCCAACCGGTACAGTTTATGTCGGCTGAAACGGCGTGTCTGAACGCACCCATTGTGTCGTGTGCATGTTGTGACTCTGTGAGTGCCTCTAGAGTGTGCAGAATGGAGAACCGGCTGCAGAGGGAGGCCGCCTAGGAATTCAGATTTCATTTTTTTAATGAGCAAGTTTTCTGCTCTTACGCTTATGAAGCTCTCCGTGGCAGTGTGGCCGGCCATTTCCAGTGGCTGGCCACTGGGTCCTGCCTACGGTCAGTAGAATTAGTCAGCGGTTACTGTTTGCCGCTAGTGCTTGTATAGAAGGGCTGTCCAGGTGTTTGGTGACTGGCTCAAGCTAAGAAGGGTAATGTCCATCCTACACATTTGTAGGGCTACCAGACCCCCCGCCCCCCCCAGCCACCAGCAGGGAAGGGGGGGTAGGGTTGCCAGATCCAGGTTGGGAAACTCCTGGAAATTTGGGGGTGGAGCTTGGGGAGGCGGACGGGGGACCCCTCAGTGGGCCACAGAGAGTCCACCCTCCAGAGCATCCATTTTCTCCAGGGGGGAACTGATCTCTGTAGTCTGGAGATGAGCTGTAACTTGGGGGGGGGGATCCTCGGGTCCCACTTCGAAGCTGGTATCTCTACATAAGAGAGGGACAAGTTGATAATTTCCCCTAGAGGGTCCCGAATGCTCTCTCTGCAGACTTTCCCCAGCCAAGAAGGGCCTGGGTCAAGGAGGCCGGGGGTAGGCCTCACCGCTGCCAAGATCCTCCCTCCTGGGAGAGCCAGTCGAAGTGGTCCAATATTGGACCTGAAGGTGGACAAGGGGCTTCCAGTTCCTTTACTGTCTCAATTGTGATTGGGAGGTCCTGGTGGATCATTACGATCTTATCTGTGAAATAACTCGCAAATGCCTCGAAGCCAATAGCCAATTCCCTACTATTTGGTCTGCCCTGTGGCAGAGTCATAATTGACTAAACAGTTGAGCCGGGCGCGAGCTCACAGACTCAGTGGAGGCCGCACAGAAGTCCTTCTTTGCTGCCTTCTCTGCCATCTCATTTCATAAGATGTTCGTGACACTTCGTCATGAGCACACCACCACCTTCGCTCTAGCTGTCTTAGCTCTCGCTTAATCCTCTGCAGCTCCACGGTGTCGTGGTTAAGTGCGTGGGCTCTGGAAGAACCGGGTTTGATTCCCCACTCCTCCTCCACTTGCACCTGCTGGATGACCTTGGCCAAGAGCAGTTTCTTTCAAGAGCTCTCTCAACCCCACCTACCACTCGGGGTGTCTGTTGTGGGGAGGGGGAAAGGAGTTTGTAAGCCGCTCTGAGACACCTTTGGGTAGTGAAGGGCAAGGGGTATAAATCCAGTCTCTTCTCTTCTCCTCTTCTGCTATGGTGTGAGGGCAGAGAGGGCGCTGGGGTTGATCTTGTCAATGGCTTCAGAGAGCCGGTTCTCCCAGTCCTCCACCAGCTCATCTAATGAGCTGCCAAGGGGCATCGGATCCAGTAGGCTCTGTGGGCGAACGTGAATGTGCTTGCCGCCTAAACAGGACAGGCGTGGTATGCTCAGCCAGACCTCCAAGGCAAAGTGGTCGAACCCTTGGAACTACCTCTGTAGTCATCAGATCCACACGTATCCCCATCCCCCAAATCAAATCCAGCGCGTGGCCCTCTTGATGCATGGGAGTTGATTCAAACTGGGAGAGTCCCGGTGCCTCCATGGATGACACCAGGCCCCTGGCCTGAAAAGACGCTGCATCACCAGCATGGACATTGAAGTCACCCAGGACTAAAAGCCTTGGGGGGCTCCAGGACCCAGCCCGATACAGCATCTCACAGGTCGGACAGGGTATCTGCCGGTGCGCTGGGCAGTCGGTACACCAGCCAGATAGCCAAACTCTCCTCGACATCACACGCTAAGCCCACACATTCAGTGATGGAGATGGTTGGGGTGGGGAGCAGCCGGAAGGAGCAAAATTCATGGATGAGCAATGCCACACCTCCCCCCCCCCCGCCCATATGTCTGAGTCTGGTGAAAGACTAAGAACCCAAGTGAGAGGGGCAAGCTGGTTTAAGGTGACAGTTTCACCTTCCCTCACCCAGGTCTCAGTCACACAAGCCAGGTCAATCAATCAATCAATCGACCTTTATTGGCATAACCACAAGCCAGGTCTACCTGTGGCTCCGCGAGATAACCACGGAGTGTATCAGTCTTGTTATGGATAGACCTGGCATTCAAAAACACCAGGTGTTGGAGAAGCGTAATTTTTCCTAGCCCCACAACCCACATCTCTCAGGGTGGGACGTAGGTGGGAAGAGGTCTGAGCATTCCCATGTCTGATTTTTTTCATTCCAATTAGAGGAACAGCACCTGTGCCCCCCCCCGCCCCATAATCACTGGTATTCCCTTCCATGGCCCCCCTTCATCGGTGTTGTCCACCCAATTTTACACTCACCAACAGCCAGCAAAACTATGCCTACACAATGCAAGACCCAAAAACCCACCTCAGATCCACTTCTAGCCAGTACCCCACTCACCACCCTCTTCCTCGCTAGTTAGCCCACCCTGTTACAGCGCTAACAATTGGATTAACAAAATTTGTAGCAGACTATGAGCTTTCGTGAGTCACTGCTCACTTCTTCAGATAGGAGGAGGAGGAGGAGGAGGAGGAGGAGAGAGCTGGGAGGAAAGAGTTAATGTTTCTCCTTCTCTGCCTTGATCAGGGAATCCTGAAGGCTGCATTTGCAAAAGAAGAAAAGGGTGTAAAATGGGTGTGTGTGTGTTGTAGTGACCTCTGAGTTCACAGGCATTGACTTGATGTGTTCGTAAAACACGTGTGGCTGAAGGAGAGTCTCTGCTGTGTTCTGTGTAGAGGGCATATGGCATACGTCAAAGGCACATCTATGACTGCTGACTGTGCAAAGAGGTTCCATTGGTCTCTCTCAGTTCATTGTTTTGGTGTGGTGGATCCCCACTAGATATTGGGAGAGCACCAAGGGAGGCCGGACACTTATCCATTCTCCATTCTGGGGTGTGTTAAAACGCAGTTAGCTGCCCCGAAGGAAAACCGGTTTGCGGGTGCACACACAAACTTCTTTTTAGCACTCAGCCTCCCAAAGCTCATTGTTGTGAAATGCTCTTCAAATGGGCTTTCACCTGAGAGTTCCTGAGATGACAAATTTAGATGACGGCAAGGAGGCCTCATTAGCTTTTATTCATATTCTTTGTTGACAGCAGTAGCATCTATAGCATCCAGATTTCTCTTCCTTTCTTTGCTTGCAGTTGCCTCTTCCTGCACGCCTCGGGCAGTCATCAGCACGGCCTTTCAGGGAGTTTTCTCCTGATATGAGGCTTGAAGAAGGTTACTGTGAGACACACAGATGAGATAGGGTTCCTTGAACAAATTCCCTGCTAACCAATGTTCCTTTCTGCAGGAGTCACTCCTCCTCAGACTGCTGGGTATCTGGAGATAACGGACCTTATAGCCAAGAAACTCAAATACATACCTGTTCCCAGGTAACTGAATTTTGTCTTCTCGGTTTTGGAAGCTACATTATGTATCATGATACGACTGTTCCTTTTAGAACTGGAACATTTTTAAAAATTTGTGTTTGTATTACGGAAGTCCGTTCAATATTTTGTAACATTTCCACTTCCCTCTCTGGGCTGCTTTTGGTATTGTTTACCAAGGAGACTATATACCCCGCCCTTCACTACCTGAAGGTGTCTCAGAGCGGCTCACAAACTCCTCTCCCTTCCCCTCCCCACGGGTGGGGCTGAGAGAGCTCTTGACAGAAACGGCTCTTTTTCAAGAACAGCCCTTATCAGAACTATGGCTTGCCCAAGGTCATCCAGCCAGGTGCAGGTGGAGGAGGAGTGGGGAATCAAACCCGGTTCTCCCAGATTAGAGTCTGCGCACTTCACCACCGCACCAAACTGGCTGCTGTACCAGAAGCATCCCCAACTGCCTCTGACTTGGGATCAGTTCTCCCTGTGAATATTGCATTCTGAGAGTATTCTGGAGGAGACCTAGTAGAGCTGCCAAGCCCCACTGATTGGCTGGCCAGTGGGGGGGGGGAGGACAGCAATATGGCGATGTCATCACATCTCCAGGGACACAGGGGTGCTCTGCTATTTGGGCAAAAACTCTGTGATAAAAACCTCTTCTACCATAGAGCTTTTGCCATGATGCAATCACATGCCTTCCAGTGCCATCACTAGCCATGCCAGCCTAGCCCCCCCCCCCGTGTAAGTCCCCCCAACTCCCTGCCGATTGCCGAGGGCGACCTGGCAGCCCTAAGCCCCGGTCTTCTCCAAGCAAACGATTGTATCGTGGTGAAGAGCTGTTCTGATTGGTTGCCATGAGCTTGGGGAAGATTCAGTGGCACTACTGAGCAGGTGCAAAACTGGGCACAAAGACAGAAGAACACAAAACTCCCCTGCCCTGGGTGCCACGGAGCCTCCTGGCCTGGAGCACACGCTGGGCAGTGAGTGGCAGAGGGGCCAGACAGAGCCCATCCAAGGCTTCCCTTGCGAGCGTGTTGCAGCCTTCAGAGCAGGCAAAGCTCTTAGCAGAAGGCCTTGGTGGACTGTATTCCCTCTCCTTGTTCCTTGATTAGCAGTGCTGAGGATCCAGTCTGCAGGCGAACTCGTATGTGCAGAAACGCCCTTTCTATTATCACAACTTTAATTTGAACCAAGTACCTTTAAAATCTCTGCTTAACCAAACACGTGAGAACTGACTTCTCTGCCGCACGGCCAGACCTGTTCTGTGGAGGATCCGTGTATCTCTTAGAGAGAGAAATTGGGGGGGGGGGGGCAAAATCGGTTGTCCGCAACCTCTCCACCCCTCAAGCCCAAACATGACGCCCACCTTGGCACTGTTCACCCAGCTAGAGACTCCTTTGTGACATGGAAACACAGTATTGTTCATCCAGGGATTCAACTGTTGGCACTAAAGTTCATTTAGGTGAACTAATAGCGTGGATCAAGAAGGGTGAAGAAGTCATTCCACACCTAAACCCACTGCTGTCTCTAGGAGAGATCAGAATATGTTCTGGTTGAACCTTTTTCAAAGTCCAGCATTGTTTCAGATTCTCCAGGTAACCTCCTCCCTTCTTTTGGTTTTCAGATCAGCATCCCTGACGCCCTATACTTCATGGCTGTCCATGATTTCTGACACTGACGTCCTCTTGGCAAAGCTTGGCAATTCTGGTGTCGTTACGGTAGACATGGGGGGCAATGTCAGGCTCTGGGAAACCAGCTTCGAAAGCCTTAGGAGATCCCTTCAGGAATGGAGAAACATGATTGGACAAGAGGATGGCAGGCCAGTGCAGGTAAGATGCAGACCACTTTGGTGTCGTGGTTAAGTGTGCGGACTCTAATCTGGGAGAACCGGGTTTGATTCCCCACTCCTCCACTTGCACCAGCTGATGTGACCTTGGGTCAGTCACAAGCTCTGGCACAGCTGTCCTTGAAAAAGAGCAGTTCCTGTCAGAGCTCTCTCGGCCCCACCCACCTCACAGGGTGTCTGTTGTGGGGAGGGGGAGGGAAAGGAGTTTGTAAGCCGCTCTGAGACTCCAAGTGAAGAGCCATGGGGTATAAATCCAATCTCTTCTTCTTCCTCTCTTCTTCATATGAGGGACTTCCAGGCTTGTGCTTAGAAAGGCCTGGCTCGGGCCTGGGATGCAGCCTGTAAATCCTGTCCATCACATTGCTCATACCCCACCTTTCCTTCCTGAATGGGGGGATCCCATTTCTTTCCCAGAGCAACCCTGTAAGATAGGTCAGTCCCAGTCCAGCGCTGCCACACTGGCCGTCAGGATTACATGGAGCCGGTCGTCAGAACCTTCTTCAAAAGGAGCTCCAGCAGTTGATTTTGGATTGGTCATAAGAACATAAGAGAAGCCAGTGTTGGATCAGGCCAATGGCCCATCCAGTCCAATACTCTGTCACACAGTGGCCAAAAATACCAGGTGCCACCAG